CTCCATGACCTTGCCAGGCACAGAGGTGAGACTGACTGGTCTGTAGTTCCCTGGGTCTTCCTTTTTTTTCCTTCTTAAAAACAGGCGTTGTGTTTCCCCTTTTCCAGTCATCGGGAACTTCACTGGACTGCCACGACTTCTCAAATATGATGGACAGCGGCTTAGACACTTCATTCGCCAGTTCTCTCAGGACTTGTAGTTTCACCTCATCAGGTCCCATGGACTTGTGCACCTTCAGGTTCCTCAGATGGTCTTGAACCTGATCCTCTCCTTCCTCTTCTACAGCGGGCAGTTCTTCATTCTGCCAGCCCCTGCCTTGGCCTTCTGCAACCTGGGAAGTGTGGCTGGAGCACTTGCCGGTGAAGACTGAGGCAGAAAAGTTGTTGAGTACCTCAGCCTTCTCCATATCCCAGGTAACCAGGTCTCCCGTTTCCTTCCAGAGAGGGCCCACATGGTGACCACATTCAAACTGCCTACTGAAAATGGCCATCAGTCCATGCCTGGCACTGGCTAGAAGCACCCTACTTGACAAGGAACTAAAAAACACACTTCAGACAATGTGCTAACAATGTCTGTACGGTCCCAGGCTTGTGTTTGGGCCTGTATTAGCTTATTAATCTGGGGCTTTGCATAAGAGGAATAAATTGCTGAACAGGAGAATCACTGGGTTTAGCTCTAGGCTAGACGTGTAGGCACATATCTTTATTCAGGATCGCCACCACTACTCCTGCGTAGTACTTTTCACATGCAAGTAATGACTGGCAGCTAAAAACATTATTAAAAAAAACCATTCCGCTCCAACAGAAAAATTTCTCCTAAATTCTGCATAATACGCAACTATGGCCAGACAATCGTCTGCCTACACACCTGGCTATGAAACTTTGCTTTCATTAACCCCTAGTTTTAAAGTCTGAAGCGTATCACCACAGGCATGAGTAGGCATGTGCCTAAGTAGGTTGGTTTGATATTTGAAAAGACATGGCAATCAGGTGAAGTCCCCGGTGACTGGGAAAAGGGAAACATTGCACCCATTTTTAAAAGAGCTAGAAAGGAGGATCCTGGGAACTACTGACCTGTCAGCCTCCCCTCTGTGCCTGGGAAGATCATGGAGCAGATCTCCTAGAAGCTATGCTAAGGCACATGGAGGACAGGAAGGTGATTCGAGACAGCCAGTATGGCTTCACCAAGGGCAAGTGCTGCCTGACCAACCTGGTGGCCTCCTATGATGGAGTGACTACATCAGTGGGCAAGGGAAGAGCTATGGATGTCATCTGGCTGGACTTCTGTAAGGCCTTTGACATGATCCCCCACAACATCCTTCTCTCTAAATTGGAGAGATATGGATTTGATGGGTGGGCTGTTTGGTGGATGATGAACTGGTTGGATGGTCACGTCCAGAGGGTAGTGGTCAACGGCTCAAAGTCCAGATGGAGATCAGTGACAAGTGGTGACCCTCAGGAGTCCATATTGGGCCAGTACTCTTTAATACCCTCATCAATGACATAGTGGAATTGAGTGCACCCTCAGCAAGCTTGCAGATGACTCCAAGCTGTGTGGTACGGTTGACACACTGGAGGGACAGGATGCCATCCAGAGGGCCTTGGACAAGCTTGAGAAGCGGGCCTGTGTGAATGTCATGAGGTTCAACAAGGCCAAGTGCAAGGTCCTGCACCCGGGCTGGGGCAACTCCCGGTATCAATACAGGCTGGGGGCTGAAGGGATAAAGAGCAGCCCTGTGGGGAAGGACTTGGGGGTGCGGGTGGATAAAAAGCTGTGCATGATCCAGCAACGTGCACTCGCAGCCCAGAAAGCCAACCATCCAAAGCACCGTGGCCAGCAGGTTGAGAGAGGTGATTCTC